AAGAGACAATCATGGTTATTTTCCAAATGTTGGGATGGCATTGGCTTTGATAAATAGGAAATGCATCAAAATATTTCTACCTCTAAGGTAAAAAAAAAAAAAAACCTGAAAAGTAATCTGTTAAAATGCTTTGGCTGGGTCTGGTGCTGTGGCATAGCAAGTAAAGTAGCCACCGGCATTGCCAGCATCCTGTACAGGTGCTAGTTCAATTCCCAGCTGCCCCACTTCTGATCCAGCTCTCTGCTATGGCCTGGGAAAGCTGTAGAAGATGGCTCAAGTCCTTGGGCCCCTGCACCCATGTGGGAGACCTGGAGGAATCTCCTGGCACCTGGCTTTGGATTGGCATAGCTCTGACCGTTGAGGCCAACTGGGATCTAAACCAGCAGATGGAAAAGCTCACTCTCTTTCTGCCGTTCCTCCTCTCTGTGTGTAATTCTGACTTTCAAATAAATAAATCAGTCTTTAAAAAACAGAGTAAATAAAATGTCTTCTCTAACTGAAATTATCAAATGGCCAACATGAGATCATTTAAGTCTAGAAGTCTAGCAGAATGTCTTATTTGCTCACAGTTTCCCATTATTAGAGAAATACATTTCAAACTAATAAGTAGAAGGAAAAGTCAAATCTCCACAAGGACACACAGCCACACACACACACACACACAAACACACACTCAGGCATTTTTCAACATAAAACAAAATTTATTATCTGAGAATACTTTTAAAAATGCCTTAATTTTTTTTTTAGTTTAAAAGTAAACATTGATTCTAAATGTTATTAATGTCCATAAAAAATGCCCCTGAGTAAAGGACAAAAATGGTAACTAGAAAGAAAAGAAAAAAAATAAAAATGATAGAAGGAATGGGAGTAATGGATTCAAGTGAAACCAAAAAATTAACTACAAAATACAGTTTTAAAAACGAGCAAGAGATGGAATCACTGGAAATGACAATCTAAATTTTCTTTGAAAAATCATTTCCTCTATAAAATCATTAAGAATACTCTCAAAAGTTGTCAATGTATATCTTTCCAAAAATCTGGAAATTACTTAAAGGCTTGCAATAACTAAGGGAATGCTTACTCAAGAAGAGTGGGAGAATTTTGTTGAAAGTAGTGAGATTTGGGGCAATGGATACTTTACTATTCAGATCTTCCTCTCCTCTCCTGCTTGGTAGTATAAAATTTGCTTCATTTATCCACCAAAACTCCTAAGTTCCAAAGTCTGAAACTTGTGTGCTCATCACAAGAGGAAAATCTCACACATGACCTCTTGTGAAGGAGTTATGGCCAAAATGCAGGCACATTAAAAATATTGTATAAACTTAGATTCAGGCTATGAGTTTCATGTTTGGACTTGAGCCCCATCTCCATGATTTCTAATTATGAAATCTATAACTATTTCAAAATCTAAAAAATTGCAAAGTCCAAAATAATTTATTTTGAATACTGAACTTCTATTAAAAACCAGCAAGTTCATATTCACAGTCAAACTGAGCAGTTGTGCAGACACCAGAGGAAAAAGGACAGCAGCAACATTAACAAAGAGCTTCCATTATTTAACCAGCCTTCCTCTTTCCTGGAAATCACAGGAGGAGGGCCTGTCATTATTTGGCCTAAATCAATCAATTTATTGAGAATTAGAAGCAGCAATACTTTCAACACTGAGGCTACCAGAAATGATAACATTTGGAGAAAATGTGCAGTGGACAAAAAAATAAATTTAAAAAGAAAAGCTGAGGAATGTGAAGTTGGTAGGGAGTGCATTTTTGTAGCCACACCAAACTCATATTTTGAAGCTCTAATATCAAGGGTGAATGAGACATAAGAGTGATTCCACAATCCAATAGTCAAAGGCTAGTCAATTCACTGGTTCCAAATATGTAAGGGACTTAGTTGACCCAAACATAAACTTCAATGGTCATACATAAAAACAGGCTATAGAATTAGTTCTGAAAAGTCATTAGTCACTAACCAAAGAATAAACCCCTCATATACACACAAAAACTAGCATGAGAGAGAATCTGAATCCTCATTTTCATTATATCAATGTCCAGTTTTGAACAGAAATACTATACAAGATGCAGAGATGACAGAAAATAATGAAAGATGCAAGTATGACATCCATACAGAAAAATGTATGGAAGCTATCCCTGAGGAAGTCAAGATAGACTTCCTAGACAAAGAGGTTAAATCAGTTATTTAAACCATTCACAAAGAACAAAAGAAATATTATCTAAAGATAATAATAAAGTATGAGGTTAATGTCTCCATGCTGCTCAGAATATCAATGAAAAGACAGAAACTAAAGGGCATTTCAGGTTACACAATCTCTGGAAAAATTAAAAATGAATAAATGAAAATATACAAAGCTAAGGGGATCTTTGCAAACTAATCAAGTATACCACGATACGCATGCATGCCCTAGAAAGGAAAAGTGACAGAAATAGAATGTTTGAGGAGCCAGCATTGTGGCATAGTTGGTAAAGATGCTGCCTGCAATTCTGACATCCCATATGGTTGCCAGTTCGAGTCCTGGCTGCTCCATTTCCTATCTAGCTTTCTTCTAGGACCTGGGAAAGCAGTAGAAGATGGCCCAAGTCCTTGGGGCCCTGCACTCACATGGGAAACCCAGAAGAAGCTGCTGGCTCCTGGTTAGGATCAGCCCAGCTTCAGCCATTGCAGCCATTTGGGGGAATAAACCAGCAGATGGAAGATCTAGCTCTCTCTCTCTCTCTCTCTCCCCCTCTCCCTCTCCCTCTGCCTCTGTCTCTGCCTCTCTGTAACTCTGCCCTTCAAATAAATAAATAAATCTTTAAGAAATTAATGCATACATTAAGACATTTATAGATTTAATAAAATTGAGAGAATTTGTCATCAGTAAATCTATCTTACAAGAATTGCTAAAAGTACTTCAGGGTAATATGAAGGGGTACTTGATGATAGCAAATATTAAAACAAAAACATAAAATGCACCAGTAATAGCACAATGTAAGAAAACAAACTGTAATAATATATATTTCATTGTAACTGTTTTTTCCACCTTCCTAAAGGATAACATGTCTGTGTTGAAAACATTAACTCCAATTATTTGCAAACTTTTCAAAAAATAGATGGGAAACACTCCACTCATTCAGTGAGGCCAACATTATCCTCATACTAAAATCAAAAAATACATTCAGGAAAACCAATACAATATTCCCTATTTTTATAGGTGAGTAAACCTCAGCAAAAATGTGAACAAACAATTCAGTAACACCTAAAAAGATACTTTATATATAACAAAGTGGAATAACTTTTGAATGAAAAGATAATTAAACCAATGAAAATCATTCAATGTAATACAAAAAAAAAAATAGAAAAATAACAATAAGGATATAATCATCTCAGTAAACACAAAATTTGACAAAACCCCACACTTCTTCATGATGAGAGCACCCAAAACTAGGAAAAGGCTTTTCTTAGCCTATTACATCATAGTAAAAGTGTCTCTACTTTTTAGAGGATTACTATGTTGAATTACATATGTTTATATGTTTGTTTCTCCACTACATTGTAAAGTTCTTAAAAACATATTTATTTATTTCTATATTTTGATCCCTGATATATGGTTTTGGCTAAAATAAAAATAATGGTTAAATGAATATGACCAAATATGCAATAACACATCAACAAATAAAGATATCCAAAAATTAAAACATGGCATTTTGCCTGTCAAAGTGTATAAATATATCTGCCATAAATCTTGGTACAATTTTTACTATATTTCCTTTACTTCTGCTATTTTGTATTGAGGGAAAATAGGCAAGAAAGAACTTATGACAAGTAGTTGCCAAAACTCCCTTGTCAATTCACTCACTTCAATTATAAAAGTAGTGAGAAATGGACCTGGTAAATCTAATCTGAATAGTTAAATGTAATTCTTAAAAGAGCTAACTTTTACATGAGTGATAAGAACATTTTTCTGCACCTTCACTGTTAGTAATCATCTGTATTATCTATTTTAAATCAAGCCTCTGTTTAAACCTTATTTTCAGTAGTGCCATTGTTAATACTCATGGCAATTTTATGATTTGTCCATTGCATATTAAATAGCAAAATATACATTAATTTACTATGTAGTAAATGTTATTAATATATTAGATCATCTTCATCAGTACAGAATTAATCTAAAATGTCAGAATGTGCTGAGATTTTCAGTGGAAATTAAATAAATGGAAGCCTTAATGGGATAAAATGGTTAAACAATAAAATGCTATTGTACTCTAATTTACATTATTGATTTGAAAAATATTGCAAAGGAAATTGCATAAAATATAGAGGAATAAAATTTATAAAACACAATGTGTTCAGGTATACTTACTTTTAAAATATTACATGAAAGAGCAACAAAGAAAAATACTACCATCCCATTTTAGCAACGATTTTAACTCCTAAATATTGGTATTTTCCAGTATCCTTAATCATAAACTTCAACCCATGAAAAACTGAGTGTAGCATCAAGTTCTAATTTCTCAAAAACATAAAATATACTCAACAGCCCAAGTATTTTCTATTAACTGTAATTCTATCCATGAGGTTCTCAGCCTACTATGAAAATATTCTGAAAGAAAAAAAAAGTTCAATGAAATAAAATAGTAGAACTATTATCAGATAACACAATGTCCTTACAAATTTCTAACAAAAAAGAACACATTTATTAAAGAAAATTTCTTTCCATCCACTGATTTCATGTCACATCACACAGAAATGAGCTGCAAGAAAAATGTTCAGGTGAACCAAGAGCAATTTCTTTAAGTAACTAACAAGTAGAAAAATTTGTTCTACTGTTTAGTTTAACTTGACTTTTTGTCAGTTTCTTGAATTTCTTAAATTTGTATACATAAAATAAAGAGCTTCATCTCCTTCTACCACATGGGAACTTTTAAGAGTCTAGCAATTAGGATAATATCTGTGAAGGTAATGTAATACAACTAAGTAACCATATTTCTTTTCATTTTCAGTTATTAACAGTGTGTAGCATCACAAATAAAGGTCCTTAGATGTAAAATTATTCTGTGCCACATAGTCTACAAACTTCCACAATTTCTTTTTCCCATCACTATTCATCTACAAGGTAAAAATATCTAAGTACAAGATTTTAATACCAATATATTTAGAACAGTATGTTTAATTTACAATTGAAATGATAATAATGTTAAATACATAATTGTTAAATGAGATTAATGTTATTTTCCACTCATAAGAATTCAAGGAAGAAAAATTTAAAATTATTCTCTTCATTAAAAACTAATTGGGAAGAATTAAAACCTAATGGCTTATGAGCGGTTAACATTTTTTGAGTAATTCAACAACTTAGCTGTGAAACATTTTCAGAATTAATAAGAAAAAGTGAGAGCAATTACCTACACATTTTGCTTTGTGGGGAAAAAGAGTACATTTTGATACATATGGGCCCAGATCTGGAGATGAGAAGTTGTTCTGATTTATCTTAAGTTTATTAGCAGTTTTCTTGCCAATAATTTTAACTTTTTTCATTTTCAAATATAACTCCATCTATCCTATCATGAACAAACAAAAATCAATAATTTGAGAATACATTCTCCTATAAAAATAAACCAATAACAAAAATTCAACAAATAAGTGTATCTTATCATAAATTATCTCCTATACTAGTTCCTCGATAATCTTGTAGCCCAAGAGAAAAAAATAGCTTACTTTATTTTTTATTTAATTTCAATTGAAATTAAGTATTCCAATATTTAGTAACTAATCCATTAGCCTTCCATTTCATCACATGTGTTTATCTGATATGCATAGCATTGTGAGAAAGTGGCCTGCTGCTTCTCCAATGATTGAACTCCCTTTCAGATAGATTTATAACTTTATATAACTTCAAATATTGTTAGCAAAATCTTAAATATAGCAAATGTATGTGATTTGGTATTATAATGGCAAATAAACTAAATGTTAACTAAAATTACAGCCTACTATATTACAAATCACCTCATACTCAGGAAAAAAAATCAATTCTAAGATAACATATATGTTTACAATTTCAGGGATACTGAAATATGACCTACAAGTGATGTCAAAAATAACATACTAATCGTTATACATGGAAGATAGGATGAGGCAAATTGATGTTTGGCATTGTCAACTACTTTAAGGATGGATATACTCAAGATGTTATCATCTCTCTTACATTGGCAAAAGCACTTTTTGTTGCAGTTAATTTTGAATCCTCAATCACTTTAAAAGTTAGTCAATCTCTAGAATTAATGTCCATGACCACTTGTAATAAGAGCTATATTCATCCAGGTATCAGTTTTATTTGTGTGAAGACCTATATCTGTACCCGAATATATTTTGATCATTAAATATTAAACTATTATCTATAAAAATAAAATATTACTCTGTAAAGAAAATATATTCTATAAAAGTTGAACATTTGGGAACAACTATGAATTTGAGTGTCAAAACTGTCAAACTAGGCATGTATTATTCAAATAAAATATTTTGAAAAAGTATAAAATGTATATATGCAAATTACTCATTAATCACTTTCAAGTATTTTCTATTTAAATATTTCAGAATGAAACCATATTATATCTGATTTGAAATTTTGTTGAGTCAACCAAATTCTAGTTTATTTTACTGCATGGTACTATAACTTGCTTTCAGATAAGAGACTACACAAATGCAAGCTTAAATATGCCAGTTATATATAAACAGTAAACCTGTATAGAGAGTTCATGTCTAAAATTATTTTTTAAAGTATATAAGTGTATAATGTAGAAAACTACATGTAAATCAATGATGATTATGCTACAGCCAATAATTATGATTAGTTTAATTATTTTAATTGAAAGCATAAAATATAAAATGAACAAAAAACATAGGTCATACTTAACCACATGCAAAATAGAGTTAATCTACATTTAGTGAATCCTTACTTACAGATGAACACCAAAGGACAAAACTCCTGAATTTGCACCCATTCAACTTTTTCCACTTGACATGTACAGAGTGCAGCAGAAAAGTGACATTCAGGTATTTTCTGAACAAGAGAAACATTATTAAAATCATGTTTTTCATAAAAAATTGCATACTAGTGGCCACCTTTTGCACTGATAGACCACAAGTAATCTTATTATGGTAGCGCAGCTAATTGCCCCTTGCATCAACTTGCAGCAACCAAAGACAGAGTAATGTCCATTGGATAAAGAGCAAAGACCAGATAAAGAGCAGTTACACACTTTTCTCCATTAGGATCTAGAAATTAGTTTTCAACACACAAAAATAAATATCTCTTTCAAGAACCTAATTTACCTTTTACACATAGTAAGGAATGATTTCTTTCTCAGTTGCCCACCATTTATCACCATAGTGTAAAGTTTTTCTCATCCCCGTTTCTGGCTCTTCCCTTGCATTCCCCATTTTGTATTGATACATTTTATTCTTCTTAAAGATTACCTTAAAACTTTTTCAATTTCAAAATTCCCAAGTCTGGCTCTCTCCTTTATAATTGATTAGATGTTGAGTGGTTTGGTGGCTAATTTTTCAACTGCCTTATTTCATATGTGCCTTCCATTTTATTCCTAACTATTGGTAATTTTCATTATGCTTAATTGCTCCTATGAAAAATAACACACACACGCACACACACACAACATTGAAGGTAAGGTTAAATGGCTAAAATAAGTTGCCTTCTCAACATTGCAATTTTTTTGTTCATATAGGTTTATATAAAATAGTCATCTTATTGTTTTAAAATGGAAATTTATGTATTTGGGTACATAAATCTTGAAAAGTGGAAGAATAATTCTTAATGGATAAAAAAAAATTCAGGCCAAAGGTATACGCAAACCCATCCTCAATTAACATGGCAGTTTGATAATCCTTAGCAGCTGCCACTTGGGAACAATTATGACTGTTCACATCAAAATTCAAATATAATATTATATGTGAACCAGAGTTGAATGATTGTCAAATACCCATCCAATTTTCTCAACTGAATATACAGAGCAATCCGCCTCTTACCCAGTGAATTTTAATTTTACATTGTATTTATAAACTTTTATTCATAGTAAGGCTGTTCATTTTAAATAATGATTTAATTAATTGATGAGATCCCATGAGACTGACAGAGTTCTCACATCCCTTGGGTCTCTTCCCAGATTTCTATAACAGCTTCAGGCTAGGGCCAACTGAAACCCTGAATCAAGGTGGCATGAACCAAACCATATGAATCTCCAAGACTTTCTCACAGGGTTGCATGACAAGGAAGCTGGATTGACAGGCTTAATCCAGTATGCAACTCAGATACTCTGATATGGGTTATGGGCATCTTAACTGCTAAGACAAAATCTGCCCTGAAATAGACCAATCATTCTGTTTTTCTCCTTCTATATTTTTACCTTATTGTGTAGAGGGAATGAGCACCCTTTAACTATATGTGTGTTATTTTTGTCAGTATTAGTTTTAATAAAGTCTGTACTTTATCAATGGTATAAATAACTACAAATTGAAATATTTGAATTAACTTGATTGATTGGCTGTATTTATTGTCATTACTTATAAAAACAAATATCAAAATAGGCAATGTAGGGAATATTAAACAAAAATTCTAATATACAAGAAACCATGATATATCATATATCAGATATTAAAATTTACCATAAATAATTTAAGTATACTGTAATGTGATGGTATCAGGTTACAGATTTACATCCTTGATTTATTGTGAATTAATTTTTGTATAAGATGTAAAAGAAGAGTCTTGATTTTAAGGGATTCTTAAACAACAAAAACAAAGCTGGAGGCATCACCATATCAGACATCAAGACACACCACATGGCTGTTATAATCAAAACAGCCTACTACTAGCACAGCACAAAAATATACATGAAGACCAATTAAACAGAATAGAAATCCCAAAAATTAGTACATGCATCTACAATGAATTTTTGATGAATGAGCTAAAATCACTGTCTGTAGAAAGGACATCCTTCTCAACAAAAAGGGATGGGAAAATTGGATATTTTCACACCGATAATGAAACAAGGCCTTTCTTTGCTATTTGGGATCATTCATGTTTCCATATCAATTTTAACATTGCTTTTATCTAGATCTGAGGAGGATGGTATTTTGATTGGAATAACTTTGATTGCTTTTCATAGTATGGACATTGTGATTACATTGATTCTTCCAAACCATGAAAATGTACCACTTTTTGTGTGTTTTACTCAATTTATTTACTTAATGTTTTGTAAATTTTATTTTAAATATCATTCACATCCTTCATAAACTTATTTTAAGGCATGGAAGAGTTTTGGTTAGTGTTATTTCTAAGCCACGGCATTGTTTGTATATACAAATACTATTTGTGTTGATTTTTATAAGTTACAACTTTGACAAACTCTCTTGTGAGTTCCAAGACTTTCTTAATGAAGTCTTTGGTTCCAATAAATATAAGATGATGTCATCCACAACAGATAATTTGAGTTTCTTCTTTCCAATTTGTACCATTTTACATTTCTTTCTCTTGCTGAATGACTCTTGCTAAATCTTTGAGAACTTTACTGAATAGCAATGATGAAAGTGTGCTTATTTCTACTTCAACATCTTAGTGGATATGCTTCCCAATTTTCCTTATTCAATATGATGCTGCCTGTAAGTTTTTCACATATTGACTTGATTATGTTTTGTATAGTCTTTCTATACTGATTTTGCTTAATGTTTTTATCATGACAGGATGTTTTCTCTGCACTTATTGAGATAATCTTTTGGATTTCACTCATCAATTTGTTAATGTTATGTATAACATTTAATAGTTGCATATGGTGCACCATCTCTGCATTCCTGAGATAAATCCCACCAGGTCTTGGTGTAATCTTTTTGGTGTGTTGTTGGATTTCTTTAGCTAGTACCTTGTTTAGGATCTTTGCATCAGTGTTCTTCAGGAATATCAGTTTGTAGTTCTCTTTGTTGTATCTTTTTTAGGGATTTAGTATAAAGGTGACACTGGCTTCGTAAAAGGGGTTAAACATAAATCACGCTCTTTCAACTATTTTGAATAGTTCTAAAAGCATTGAAATTGTTTAATGAAAAGTTAATTAGAATTCAGCTACGAAGCCATTAAATCTTTCACTTTTTTCTTGGGAATGTCTTTATTAGTGGTTCAATCTCCATCTTGGTTATTGGTCTATTTAGAATTTCAGTGTCATCATACTCAATTTTGGTATAGCTTATGTGTCCACAAATCTATCCATTTCTTATATATTATCCAATTTGCTGGGATAAAATTAAATAAAATAATTTCTAACAATTCTTTTCACTTCACTGGCATCAGTTGTAACATCTGCATTTCCATCTCTGATTTTATTAATTTGGGTCTTCTCTTTTTTGGTGATTTAAGCTAACTGTTAATTAACTTTATTGTTGTTTAAAAAAGTCAGCTCTTCATTTCACTGATCTTTTTGTATCTTTTTTGACTTCAATGTTATATATTTCTTCTCTAATTTTTATTATTTCTTAAATTGGGTTTGGTTTATTCTTGTTCATCTAGGTCTTGGAGATGTATTGCAAATTTCATGATATAGGCACTAATTGCTATTTAATCTTTCTTCATAACATGGTTTTTGCCATATCCCATAAATGTTGATGTGATGTGCTGACATCTCTTGTTTAGTTCATGGAAGTTTTTTTTTTTTTTTTATTTCCTTTTGAGTTCTATGATACACTGTTCAGTTAGGACCATGTTGTTCAGACTCCAGGTTTTTGTATATTTTCTAGAATTTTTGTGTTATAAATTGTTGCATTTGATTTATCAACAATGTTGCAGTGGATTCGTTTCTGAGAGGAACATGGTGGGGGCAAGAGGTGTGGAGTCACCACACAGACTCCAGGCGTCAGGTGAAAGCAGTCCTGAGGCGAGCAGCCTGCAGATTCGTTTATTTGAGTTAGTACAACAGCTTATGTAGCCCAGACCAGTCAATCCAGTCAAGGGGCGGTCTAGGCCCCAACCAATCACAGCCTGTTGCCAGGCAGTTTCCAAAGCCATCCAATCACAGCCTGTTGCCAGTCAGGCTCTTGTCACCAGGCAGTTTCTGAAACCATCCAATCACAGCCTGCCGTCGGTCAGGCTCTGTTGTTAAGTGGTTTCCTCTGTTGCCATGTGGTTTCCAAGGCCATCCAATCACGGCCTGTTGCCAGGCAGTTTCTGTTGTCAGCAGCCATCTTGGCATGACTTTTCACCTCGGTGGCCAGCTTGGCATGAACTTTTCACCTCATTCCATCACAATTAATTACCAGCTTATTTCAACTGTGGTCAGAAAATATATATAGTATAATTTTTTAATCTGTTGAAAATTTTTCCCAAACATGTGATCTATTCCAGATAATGTCCCATGCCCTGATTGTGTATTCTTCTTCTGAGAAATGGATTCTTCTGTAGATATGAATTAGATTCATTTGGATCAATGTGTAGATTAACCTCATTGCTTTCTTGGTTGTATTGTCTGGTGATGTGTCTATTGACGAAAGTGGGGTATTGAAATCACTAATTATGATTGCTTTGGAATATATGTCTCCCTTTAGATCCATTAATTTTTATTTTAACTAACTGGGGGGGTTTAATATTTTGTTCATTTACATTTACTATAGTCAAATCTTCCAGTTGAATTGATCCCTTAATCATTACATAATAATCTTCTTTGTCTATTTTAACAGATTTGTCTTAAAGTATATTTTGCCTAATATTCAGATAGGTATGGGGCCAGCACTGTGGCACTGAGAGTTAAAGCCCTGGCCTGCAGGGCTGGTATCTCATTTAGGTACCATTTGGAGCCCTGGCTCCTCCATTTCTGATTCAGCTCCCTGATACTGTGTCTGGGAAAGAAGCAGAATATGACCCAAGTCCTTGGGGCCCTACACCCATATGGGAGATCTGGAAGAAGCTCTTGGATCCTGGCTTTTCCTGGCCCAACTCTGGTCATTGTAGCCATTTGGGAAGTAAACCATTGGATGGAAGACCCCTCTATCTCTCTCTCTACCTCTCTCTGTAACTCCACCTTTCAAATTAATAAAATAACTCTTAAAAACATAGGTATGCCTCATTTTTGATTCCCATTTGCATGTACTAGCTTTTTCAATCCTTTCACTTTTGATCTGTTTTTTTCTTTGTGAGATGTTTTTCTTGTAGAGTGCATAGAGATTGGACTTCATTTTAATCCATTCAGCCACTCTGTAACATTAAATTGGAGTGTTTAGTCTACTTACATGCTTTGTCATTGTTACTAAGTAATGTCTTAGTCCTGACATTTTTCCATATATATTCCTATTGCTTCTTTTGGATAACCTTTGGACTATTAAATTTATGCCTTCCCATTCTTTTAGGATGCTGATCATCTTTCTTTGTTTTTCTGTGTAGTTAATACTTAAGTATCACTTGAGAGGCTGGACAAATGGTGGCAAATTTCTAGTTTTTTAAGAAGATGCTTATTTTATCTTCTTTTATAAATAAGAACTCAATGCAGTGTTTTGGGCTTTTGAGGTTTTAATTTGGGTAAGATGTAGACTATATCTCTCCATCTCTCCTAACCTGTTGGTTTTCTGATGAGAGTCTTATTGTCAATCTAATTGGAGATCTGTTACAAGATAGCTGATACTTCCCTTGTACATTTTAGGATGTTTTCTTTGTTTTACCTTTGAAAATTTGAATATAATGTGTCATGGTAAAGATCTCTGAATGTGACTCTTTGCAGTTCCATGTGTTCTTGTACTTGGATATCCATATATTTAACAAAATTAGGAAAATTTCCTGTTATTGTATCACCAAATAAGTTCTCGAAGTCATTCTGCTATTCCACTCCTACAGAAATGCATAGGACCAGTATATTTTGTCTTTAATGGTACCCTGTAGATCCTGAGGCATTTTTTTTTGCATTTTTATAAGTTTTAAAATGTCCTTTCTTTTTATCAATTTCAAAACCTTTTTCTTCCAGCTCAGACATTGTTTATTCTACCTTACTGAGTCTGTTTTTCAAGTTTTCCACTGTTTCTTTTTACTTATTAAATTTTTTATTCATAATATTTCAGTTTGATTTTTCTTTAATTTTTTTCTTAGCCTAATTTCTTACCCATATCATTCACAGGTTTCTTTAACTCTTGTGATTCCTTCTGTGTGTTTCTGAGGAGCCTTACATTTTTAAACTTCCTCTTCAGGCATTTCATCAATCTCATCTGTACAGTCTAATGCTGAAATATCATTGTGTTCCTTTTGCAGTCATATTGTCTCCCTCATTCATGTTCCTTGTATTTTTATGCTTAATTTCATGTGTATGTAGAAAACACTTGTTGATATCTCCTCTAAAGTCTCTGTACTTAGGAATCTGCCCTAGGTATGGTGGGATGCCTGTATCTTCCAACAAATCCAGAGGTGTGTACTAGCTGGGGTCAAGAGTTCTGGAAAACTTTTACAGGTGGGCCCAAAGCCTAGGGTAAAGACTATGAGCAAAGACTTCTATGTGAATCAGGCTCACATCCTCATGCTGGTGCAACAATCTCTTGCCACAGTCACCTGTGGGATTGTTTCTCTCCAGTGTCTCAGACACCTCCATCAAAATAATGGAGAATCAGAGAAGTCAGGACAATATCTGTGGCTGGCACTGTGGCCTAGTAGTCATAGTCTGCAGTTCTGTAATTCCATAAAAGCATCAGTTTGAGTAGTTTTTGCTCCACTTCCAATTCAGCTCCCTGTTAATTTTCCATGGGAAAGAAGCACAAGATGACCCCAAATCTTGGGCCCCTGAATCCAAGTAGGAGACCCACAGGAAGCTCCTAGCCACAGCTGTGAGCTGCTATAGGAAATCCAATGTCTCATTTTTCTAGTTATTGGAATTTGTGAGCTTTACTTAACTCATCAGCTGACCTGAAATCCTGAAGATTCTAGCTATCTCAGTTCCACAGTGTGTCTCTGTAGTCAGGCCTTAATTGTTTACTAAGCAACCTTTGTGCTAATATAGACTTAAGGACTTTATTGGTGTCCACTTGTCACTGACCATGCCTGTGCCTAGACATGCTCAATAGAGGTGCTTGTTCACCTCTCTGTATCAAATTTTTCAGAAACTTTACCTTTTCCACACTTGCCAAGGTAAAATGATGTGATTCATTTTATACCCAATTTCCTTAGGGTTTTCATCAATGAAGGATGTGTATTTTATCAAAAGCTTTCTCTGAATCTATTGAGATAATCATATGGTCTTTGTAGTTCAATTTGGTAATGTGATGAATCACATTTATTGACTTAGGAATGTTGAACCATCCCTGAATACCAGGGATGAGTGATCTTTCTAATGTGTTGTTGGATTTGATCCACTAACATTGTGTTGAGGATATTTGTGTCTATGTTCATCAGGGAAATTGGCCTATAATTCCCTTTCTCTATAAATAAAAAGCTTTTATTTGTTTACTTGAAAGTTGGTGTTACAGAAAGAAAGAAAAAGAGTGAGGTCTTGCATTCCCTGATTCACTCCCCACATTGGCTGTAATGGCCACAGCTGCACTGATCCAAAGCCAGGGGACAGGCATGGTTCTCCCATGCAGTTGCAGAGGCCCAAGGACTTGGGCCATCTTCTACTCCCTTCCCAGGCCACAGAAGAGAGCTAGGTGAGAAGTGGAGCAGACTGGACTCAAACCAGTGCCCAAGTGGGAAGCCGGCACTGCAGATGGCAGTTTACCCAATACACCATGGTACCAGCCCCTATAATTATCTTTCTCTATTGCAACTTTTTTTCTTGTTTAGGAACTAAGGTGAAATTGGCTTCAAGGAAGAAGTTAGGGAGGAATCCCTCTATTTCAGTTATTTTGAATAGCTTGAGAAGAATTTGAATTAGTTCTTCAATTGTTAGATACAATTCAGAAGTGAGGCTGTCCTTTCTGGACTTTCTTATTGGGCTGGCTTTTATTTTTGATTCACTCTCCATTTAGCTTATTGATCTGTTTAGGGGGTAAGAAGATTACTGGTTCTAAATTTGAAATGAATGATTTTTTATACTTTAAATAAAAGGTTTCTAGGTAAAAAATAGGATAAACTCATTTAACAGATGTGAAAAAATAAACTGAGTGATTATGTGGAAACTTTTCTCACAAAGATGACACCATTATAGGAAATATAATTTTAACCTGGACATTCTTTGAATTTTTTAAGAAGTTTGCATTTTGTATGGTAGCAAAATTATCTTTATCTCTCTCTCTCTCTCTATATATATATATATGTATATGTATGTATATATGTATATATACATATATATATATTTAAACATGCCTGAATAATGTATCTATAGATATTCTTTGGATTCTTTTTTGTTCTGGTTGTAATATATAATGATTCACTCATAAAGGTAAATGAACATTTTCACAAGTATCTTATGGTCTACAAATGTCATATCTTTACGTTTTTGAAAAGTATCTTTTCTATTTTTGCATTTATTTTTTAATTTTGACATAATTTTACCCAGTTATAGAACACAATGTGATATTTTGATTCAAGTATGAATTGTGTAATGATGAAATTAGGAGATTAGTAAGCATGGCATCTTAAACTCTTGTCATTTCTTTGTGATGAGAACATTAAAAGTTCTCTCTCCTAATAATAATAATGACTCATTATTGCTAACTATGGTCATCCTACTGTACAAAAGAACACCAGAATCATTTCTCGTATCTAACTGTGATGTTGCAGCCTTTTTTCATGTCTTCCTATTTTCCCTCTGCCCAAGTTTCTCTTCCCCTGGTAAATAATAATCTACCCTCAACTTCTTTAAGATCAACTACTGTAGATTACACATATGAGTGAAAACATGTGACCTTTATTTTCTCTACCTGGCTTGTTAGAGTTAACTTAATATTCCCCAGGTCCACACACACTTTCACAAAATACAAGACTTCAGCCTTTTTGTGCCTGAAAAGAAATTATTTGTAGGTCACATTCTATGCCAATGAATTCTACAAGGACACGAAGTCTCCACGAAAGACAGCTGTACCACACACATAATTGAAGGCTGAGTGTATCTCTCATTATCTATCCAGGTGGATAAAAATCATGAATAGAACTTTACTGAATTTGTTTTATAATTTAAATGATCACTTATGTTAATTTACATTTCTGTAAATTACAGCCTTCACATTTACAGCTAAAACACTCTCCATTTTTGGAAATAGGGGATGGCAGTTTTTTTTAATTTATTTTATTGAGATAAAATTCAAATAATAAAAATCCAACATAGCAATCCTTTTAAAGTGTACAATTTAAGAATTATAACCAACTTCCTAATATTTTTAAGCAGAACATATGATTGTATTAGGGATTTACCTGGATTACATCATATAGAATATTATTTAGGGTACATTAATATAGTTTAAACATTGAAAATGTTGCAATTTATTTATGGTCATATTATCATATTATTCCATTACCAATTAGACTTTACACCAGGAATCAAAGTAGAAAATATGTTAATGCATTTATCCACATTGATAGGATTAACAAGAATTTCATATATTCATGTTACTAAATAAATACTATGGGCAATTAATGGAAATAATATTTAATTAAATCAATACTATGCTGCAAAATATTTCTAAACAGCATGAAAACAATTGGTATAAAAGTAATGACACTTGAGCTAATATGGTTTAGTGGGTAAGGCTGCTGCCTGTGATGCTGGAATTTTTGCAGGCACTAGTTTGAATCTTGACTGTGCACTTTCATTTAGCTACCTGGTAATGAGCCTGGGAAAACAGCTAAAGATGAGCCAAGTACTTGGCCACTGAACACATGTAGAAGGCTGAGTAAAAGGTACTGGGCTTTATTTGAGCCCAGTCCTGGCCATTGCAGCCATTTGGGGAGTGAACCAGCAAATAGAAGACCACTCTCTTGCTCATTCTCTCTCGCTCTTTCCCATTTTTTTCTCTCTCTCTGTCTTTACCTCTCTGTAAGTATACTTTTCAAAGAAAGAAAAATAATTTTAAAAAGTTAAAAAAAAGATATAAGTTATTGGAACATAAGCATTTGCCAAAGTTGTTAAGATGCCTTTTTGAATTTCTGCGTCTCATATCAGGGTGCCTTCATTCAAGTTTAAGCTCTGGTCTTGAGTTCAGCTTTCTGACACCTTGGGAAGCAGCAGGTGAAAGAGCCCTAAAATAAAAATTTCAAAACTTGTCTAAAGAAATAACAGGAAACAAAAAATGAAACACAATTTCCTTGTCTGTGGATTGGTTGAATTAATACCATCATAATTAAAATACTACTGACAGCAGTTTATAGATTCAATGTGATCCTAGAAAAAAAATGGTGCTATATTTCAAATATAAACAAAAGAGATCCTGATTAGATAACACAATCTTAACCAAAAAATAAATAAATAAATAAAGACAGAAACATTGTAACACCAGATTTTAAGACATCCTACAGTTATATTCAAAAGAGCGTGCTACTGGCAATAAAATATATTTGCAGACCAATGGAACTGAATATAACTCCCAGAAATCAATTCACACATCTGTAGACAACTATTCTTTGATAAGGGCTAAAATCAATCCCTGAAGAAAGGACAGTCTATAGAACCAGTGCTGTTGAGGAATTTAACCTCCACCTGCAGAAATATGAAAAAAGACTGTATGTAGACCTTAAGCAAAAATCAACTCAAAATGGATCAAGAATATAAATCTATGACCTGATACCATCAAATAACTAGAGGAGAATTCTGGGGAAACTTTGCAAAACATTGGAATATAAAATTAATTATTGTAAAAGACATCAGAAGCACAGAGAAATCAAAGCAAAAATAGACAAATGGGATTACATCAAACTAAGACTCACTGCAAAGGAAACATTAAACAAATTGAGGAGTCAATTGATAGTATGGGAAAACATATCTGGAAACTATGAAACTGCTAAGGATTGATACCCATAATCTATAAAAAGTTCAAGAAACTCAACAAAAAACAATCAAGTAAATAAATATTCAAAGCACTTGAACAAGCATTTCTCTAAATAGAAAATTCCATTAGTCAAAAGATAAAGAAAACCATGCTCAAGATTGGTAGCCAACAGGGAAATACAAAGAAAAACCCCAATGAGGCTTAACTTCACCCCAGTTAGAATGTCTCTCATACAAAAAAAAATTAATTGGTGGTAAAGATGTGAGGAAAAGAAACTGTAATCCACTGTTCAAGGAAATGTGGACTAGAACAGCCATTGTGGAAAATGCAATGAAAATTCTGCAGAAAACTGAAAGTAGATCCACTAAATTATCTGGCCTGCCTACTCCTGAGCATTTACCCCCCAAAAATGAAAACAGCACATGAAAGAATTATCTCTACCTCTAAGTTTGTTGCAGCTTAATTCACAATAGCTAAGATATGGAATTAACCCAGATGCTCATCAATTCATGACTAGATAAAGAAAATATGGTGTGTATACACTATGGAATATTATTAGGCCATAAAAAGAATGTGACCCCGTCTTAACAAAATGGATGCTACTAGAAAACATTATACATAGTTAAATAACCCAGTCCTGAATAGACAAATACCATAGGTTTTATTCTAATCTGTGGTAATTAAGAGATTACAAAAATATGCAATGCATAATTATTTGCATTTCAAATTCCACAAAATTATTTTGTGCATAAACTGCTGAAAGATGACACTTTAACATCTAAATGATCAAGGATCCAAATCCAATCCCTGGAATAAGGACAGTCTATTCAATAAATGGTGTTGGGAAAATTGGATTTCCATGTGCAGAAGCATGAAGCAAGAACCCTACATTTCACCTTACACAAAAATCCACTCAACATAGATTAAAGACTTAAATCTATGACCAGACACCATCAAATTATTAGAGAACATCAGAGAAACCCTGCAAGATATCGGCACAGGCAAAGACTTCTTGGAAAAGAAACCAGAAGCACAGGCAGTCAAAGCCAAAATTAACATTTGGGATTGCATCACATTGAGAAGTTTCTGTACTGCAAAAGAAACAGTCAGGAAAGTGAAGAGGCAACTGACAGAATGGGAAAAAATATTTGCAAACTATGCAACAAATAAAGGGTTAATAACAAGAATCTACAAAGAGATCAAGAAACTCCACAACATCAAAACAAACAACCCACTCAAGAGATGGGCCAAGGACCTCAATAGACATTTTTCAAAAGAGGAAATCCAAATGGCCAACAGGCACATGGAAAAATGTTCAAGGTCATTAGCAATCAGGGAAATGCAAATCAAAACCACAACGAGGTTTTACCTCACCCCAGTTAGAATGGCTCACATTCAGAAATCTACCAACAATAGATGCTGGAGAGGAGGTGGGGAAAAAGGGACACTAACCCACTGTTGGTGGGAATGCAAACTGGTTAAGCCACTATGGAAGTCAGTCTGGAGATTCCTCAGAAACCTGAATATAACCCTACCATACAACCCAGCCATCCCACTCCTTGGGATTTACCCAAAGGAAATGAAATTGGCAAACAAACAAGCTGTCTGCACATTAATGTTTATTGCAGCTCAATTCACAATAGCTAAGACCTGGAACCAACCCAAATGCCCATCAACGGTAGACTGGATTAAGGAATTATGGGACATGTACTGTATAGAATACTATACAGCAGTTAAAAACAATTTAAACCGGGCATTTGCAACAAAATGGGGGAATCTGGAAAACATTATGCTGAGTGAATTAAGCCAGTCCCAAAGGGACAAATATCATATGTTCTCCCTGATCGGCAACAACTAACTGAGCACCAAAGGGGAAACTTGTTGAAGTGAAATGGACACTATGAGAAACAGTGACTTGATCAGCTCTTGTCATCACTGTTGTTGTATAATGTAATACGTTATCACTATTAGTATTTTTTTTTGTTTTAGTACTATTTGTTGAACTCTGTAATTAACACACATTTATTCTTAGGTGTTGAAATTCAACTCAAAAGTGATCCCTGTTAAATATAACAGTGGGAATAAGAGAGGGGGGAGATGTACAATTTGGGACATGCTCAATCAGACTTGCCCCAAAGGGTGGAGTTAGAAATGTGCCAGGGGATTCCAATACAATCCCATCAATGTTGCATGTACCAATGCCATCTCACTAGTCCAAGTGATCAACTTCAGTTCACAATTGATCACACTGATATGTCTAAAAGTTAAAGGGATCACACAAACAAGGCTAGTGTCTGCTAAT